CCCCCTGCCCCGGCTCCGGCGCTCCGGGAACCCACCCTCTTCCTTGAACCAATGGGGAAACTGAGGATCGCATCCAGTCCCTCAAACTGTCCCCACCTGGGAAAGGGCCCAAGAGAGAAAGGGAGGGACGCGAAGCAACGAGACAAATATCGGATCATCCACTGTTTGGGGGTGGGGGGGGCAGTTTAGGGTCAGAAATGGGCCCAAAGGACAGATGACATTCGGCTGAGACATAAGGATCTGGAGGAAGCAGCCACTGCCAAGAGCTGGCGGGAAAGCGGACAGGCGAAGGTGTAGGAACGCTCTGAGAAAGGATGGAGCTGGAGGGTAGAGCCTGGTGCCGCCCAGGTCTAGCCTGGGCCAGGCTCTGCCCTCTCTGGGCCTCAGTATTCTCCTCTGTACAATGGCGCAGAAGATGGGGGTACATGAACAGCTCTGAGCCTACCCTGGGATGGGAGTAGGTGTCCCCCTAGCCACCACCAGCAGACTGGGCTGTCTCCCCTCTCAGACTATGGGCTTCTAGAAGACAGAGGTCAGGTCTCACTTAGAATGGAAGACCACAGCGGTGTCATCAGAGGTTTCCCCAAGGATAGGACTCCATCTCCCACCTCAGACCACACACATTCAAGGATCATCCCTCACACACACCTGGAGGTGGGGAGGCTCTTGTTTCCACCTTGCAGAAGCCTCAGGGCCGTTCACTAAGTCAATCAACAAACATATATTGCTCATCTACAGTGGTCCAGGCCAGAGGCCTAATCGGGGTGGGGAGGCAGGTAGGGCGCATACCTGGGCTTGGAGTGCGTGCCCTGGATGCCGCTTGAGGCAAGACACCAATGAGCAGACTCTGTTGACCATCACAGCTTCCACTACCAGATCATTCAGCAATTTAACACGAATTGTCCTAGGCGCTATTTCTCCTCCACAGCCCCCGACTGGCACTGCTCTAGGCACTGGGGCAGAGCAGGGAATGAAAGAAAAACATTTGCCCGCGTCAATGTCCTCATCTGTGTTGGCAGGTAAGTGAGTGAACAGGTACAAAAGCCACTTATTGAACCTAAAAGCATCATGACAGCTGTTTATTGAACGCCTACTATGTGTCAGCCGGCCTTCCGGGCACCAGGAATACAAGGGTGAATGAAGGAGAAGAAAGTCCTCTCTGGTTTCAAGGGAAATGGGCAACAGCCGAGGCAAAGCCCCCAGCTTGGCAGTTAGGGAATCATTTGTGTGTACAAAGGAAGAGATTAGGGAGCAGTGATAGAGATTAACAAAAAAAAAAAAAAACCAAACCCGTGGCCCGCTGAGTCGATTCTGACTGATAGTGACCCTACAGGACAGAGTAGAACTGCCCCATAGGATTTCCAAGGAGTGGCTGGTGGATTCGAACTGCCGACCTTTTTGTTAGCAGCTGAGCTCTTAACCTCTGTGCCAGAAGGGACTTACTTATCTGGGGTGCCTGGGAGAGGGGAAGGGAGATCCCGGGGATAGATACAAGTGGACGTGTTGGAAGGAGTATTCAGTGGCTCCCTACTGCCATTAAAATACCATCCAAAGTCCTCCCTCTCCCCACAAGGCCCTGCACAAATCTCCTCTCCATCTCACCTCCCTGAACCCATCTATCTCCTCTCTCCCGGTCACTCATTCTCCTCCAGTCACATGGTCCTCCCTGATGTTCCTCCAATATGCCAGGCACACAGTCCTGCCCCGCGGCCTTTGCACATGCTGTTCCATCTTCCTGGAACACTCTTCCCGGCTGCTGATCATTCAGGTCGCAGCTCCAATGTCACCTCCCCTGAAAGTCCCCCCCGACCACCTCATTTAAGCAGCTTTCACTCACTGTATCCTCTTTCTTCTTAGTGCTTATTGTTGGTACAAACAGTTAAGCACTGGACTTCTAGCAGAAAGGCTGGCTATTTGATCTCAGCCAGAGGCACCTCAGAAGAAAGGCCTGGTGATCTGCTTTTGAAAGGGCATAGCCTTGAAAACCCTATGGGGAAGTTCTACTCAGCATACATGAGGTCTCCGAGAGTTGGAATTGACTCAACAACAACGTTTATCTGCGGGTTGTTTTGTTCATTGTCTCTCGCTCACTAGGCTGTGTAGGGATAGCGCCTATCTTGGTCCTTGAGGGGCCTGGTACACACACGGTAAGTGCAAAATAAATGAGCAGGCTGTGGAGGAGGGTAAATGACCAGGAGAAGAAAGAGCTGACCCAGCTGAAGCCAGAAACCGCTGGCCTCACTCGCTGCGCTCGCTGCCCAGAAATTCTAAGAAGCAGGATGTCCCACAATTCCACACTGCTAAGAGTTGGTGAGGAAACCCTGGTGGCCTAGTGCTTAGGAGCTATGGCTGCTAACCAAAAGGTCGGCAGTTTGAACCACGAGGCACTCCTTAGAAACCCTATGGGGCAGTTCTACTCTGTCCTATAGGGTCACTATGAGTTGGAATCAACTTGACGGCGATGGGTTTGGTTTTGGGTTTTGGTAAAGAGTTGGTGATTCTAGGTTCTTGGGGCCCTATGAAGTCCTGATTCCAAACCTTTTGCAGGAGGTGTCTTGTTTCCCCTGGGGGGCTGACATCTCCCCTCCCTGGACTCCAAACAGTGATCCCCTCCTGTTCCCCCTTCTCATTGTCTGTTCCCCACCACCCTCAGCTTCTCCCGGGCCTTCTCTTGCCCAAAGCCCCTGACCTCCTCGAACCAATGGCCCTTCTTGGCCCTCATTTCACAGGCTTCTCAGGGCAGCCTCACCTGCCCGATGCTCACCTGAATGTCACTTTGGCCCACACCTGTCAGTCACCACCTTCAGGAGGATGGCTTGAAGCTCTACCCTCCTCAGCACCCTCCCCTGAGACCCAGCCCTGTGGGTCCACCCCCAACTGGGCATCTCCCCTGGATGTCCCCCAGGCCCGCAGACTCAGCATCTTCTCCCAGATCTGTTCCCACCCAAGCCAGAGACCTAAGTATCCGCCTAACCTCCTCTCTTCCTCTCACCTGCCAGACAACCCTCCTCCCCATCCCCACAGCCCCTGCCCTGGACCAGACCATCTTCTCCCACCTGACCACAAGCCACCTCCTGCCTCTCAGCAGCCGTCACTCTGTGGCCTTCAACTTGAGTCTGTCCCTCCCTCACTTAAAACCCTCCATGGCTCCCTATTGCCCTTGGGACAAATTCCCAGCTCTTCAGGCTGACCTGGGATGCCTTGCACCACCTGACCCTGCCCAGCATCACCTCCCTCCACAGTTCACACACACCCTCCGCTCCTGCCACACAAATTTCTGAACCTGTGTACTTCTCACCTCTGGGCCCTTTAACTCTGTCTATGAGGTTAGCTCTGCCACCGGGAATTCCCTCCCCTCCTTTTCTGTCTGGAGAAAGTCCATTCTATTGTGACAGGCCCAGTCCGAAAGGCATCTCCTGCAGTCTTCTCTCTCGCCCCCAGGACAGAGAACACAGACATCCTGACCTTGGTAGATATGTGGATATTTACTCTATAACCACTTCCTTCTGCTGGGAGATGCTGGAGCACCAGGCCCTGCCCTTGCTGCTCTCCCAGGGTGGGTGAGGGAAGACAGAGCTGAACGCCTACACTTCCAGACCTAAACTGTCAGTGCCAGGGCAGAGGGAGGGCCTCAGGGCTGAAAGGCCCCAGAGAGGGGAGCAGGGCGAATCAGAAAAGGCTTCCTGGAGGAGGGGACCTTTCCCTAACCCCGTCTTTAGCTTCTTCTGCCGGGCATACTCATAAGGGCGGATAAATACAGATTTGCGGATTGCCTGGGAAGCCACAAGACCACACAAGAGATAGTGTGTGTGATCTGCCAGAAAGAAAAGAGGTTTTGCTCTGAGCAGCAGCAGCAGCCCAGCTTTGGGGGCAGGGGGTGCAACTGGGTGAGGCTTAGGATGAGAGCGGTTCTGTAAGATGCTGGGGGACCCTTAGCCAGCCTATTACTCGATAACTTGCTGAAATGCCACATCCGGCCAGAGCAGGAGCCACCAGGAGTGACTTACAGCCTGGGCAAAGTCTAGCACATTTCATCCAGAAATTTGTTCGCCATCCAGCGTGTTACCCTGCACTTAGGGGGTCTCAGTTTCCTCGTCTGCAAAATAGGCGGAAGAGGCTTAGCTTTCCCTCTCTCGCCTCCCTCTCCCCGGCTGCTGCCTGGGTGTTTTTGGTGTGGATGTGGGTTTTTTGAAAAAAGGAAAAAGCCAAGGAGCGGCGCTGGGACTCCGGATTGCTCAGACCACCTTAAATCAGCCTCGCAGCCCCAGCTACTGTGGAAATTCCTTTCTCGGCGGTGGTTGGCTGGGGGTGCCAGCCAATCCGCCAGCGGCGCTCCCACATGGGTCCGTGACGTCACAAAGGGAGCTAGCCAATGTGGATCCGGTCACCGGCAGCCAATGGCAGGAGGCACTGGAATTGGCTGGACCAATCGGAAGGCGGCTAGGTGCTCCCAGAGGGGTATGGAGAAGGTGGAACCCTCTCATTTCAAGGCTGAGACCCTCGTGGACCCCCTAGTCGGGCTAGGATGGAGGTGGCATC